GACATAGAGAGATAGTTACATTTGCTATAGAGAACGTTTTGTGGCATTTAGTAAATTAGTATTTTCTCAGGCTAAGTAACAACCAATGACTATAATTATGCAGACACCTGTTTCTAATACCAACTGGCATCTCTATGGAAACAAGACACAAAATGTTGGCTTCTTTTATCTTATCTTTTAAACATGTACATGTAGGTAGACACACACATATACAAATACATATGTTGAATCTCCCCATTTATTTATATGTAACTAAAGTCGAAAACTCAAATCTATTGTTTGATAAAGCAAACTGGTTATGTGCCATACATGACAGAGAAGCATGGCACTACTGAGCAATTTTGCTTGCAAATATTAAAATATTTTGAGGCAGAGATAATATCAGAATCAGAGAACTGTTTTGAGCTAAAGGGTGTTAGGGAGAAATGTATGAGGGAAGCTAAGCAGAGATGGATGGGCCTCCAGAAGAAATGAGGGGTGCATCAAAGCTAAGGTGAGAAAGGTCATCCTCTTGTCTGTCTCCCACACACAAATCCATTCATATGCAGCTACACATGACAGCCATATACACTTTTACATATAACATACTTAAGCCATGATCCTGCTGCAATCAAGTAGCATAAACCAGAAATTCTGTAACTGCTGAGAGCCATTATTCCAGCTTTCTGTTGCATCTTTGATCACACACTCAACTGCATGTTCAGTTGTTCGGTTGCACACCCAGGCATGTGATGGATGGTCAGGAAATTGTGAAAAACCACTTTTGCATATTTTTTACACACACAGTATTTCACAATAGGATTCTAGCCATGCTTTCCTTCACACTCAAACTCATTCTCACGCAATACACCCAATAGATGCAAGACACAAAGATTCTTTGCCTTGTTCTCTCTTGCCCTATTCAGGCATTCCAAAAAGAGTTAATCTGACACCATGAGCAGGAAGAGAATTCAAGTCATGTCCGTGGCTGCCTCCATAGGGAGAAGGACTACAACATGTGAAGAGGAAAACTTTTATTACACAGGGATTCTCCACATGACCAAGGAGCCTTAGAGTTTCCAAGCACAACAGGCTGTTTCTTCTACAGACCATCCTTATTCCTGCTCCAGTTTTTAAATTACCGTATTTTTCGCTCCATAAGACGCACCAATTTTTTAGTAGAAGAAAACAGGAAAATATAATCTGTTTTCTTCGCTCCATAAGACGCACAGACTTTCCACCCCCCTGTTTTGTGGGGGGAAAGTGCGTCTTATGGTGCGAAAAATACGGTAATCTTTTAAGAACACCTGAATAGGGATTCTGTCTCTGTCACTCACACATATAGCATACAAATGTTTCACCCTAGTTGTGCGCAAGTTCAGCTTAGTCGCTGCATTTCTCAATGACCCCGACTGAAACTGGGCTTGAAGGAAATGTGTTTAATGAACGCAATCAAAAGTTGTTGTCCCCTCAACAAATAATTGCCATGAATGTGTCCAGTTCATCTACCAGAGGCTGCCCACTCAGGATGAATATAATAATATACACCCTTATTCAGAATAGAAAATCTTAATTTAGATCAGTGATTCTCAAAGGAGGCCATATGGCCCCCCTGGGGTGGCCCTGGCACATTTGAAGAGGGTGACAGTCTGGAAACAATTCTTCACACACTTCCTTAAAAGATTCACTATGCAACTTATATAATTCTGGTTCAGCTTATATTTCTTTCATATTGTGTTTATAGTCATGGCAAAAAAAAGTGGAGAATGGCTTGCTAGATGATGTCTATTGTTTGTTGGTACAAGGCAGTTTGCTAATTGCTTTCTGAAAATAAAAGGTCTCAGCCATTTGTGATGAAAATATCCAGTTAGAGACCCTTAGCTCTTAGTGAAAGATTTCCTTCTGCACAGCACAGTCTGTATGGAAAACGGTGTCTTTTGCAAAGCAAGTCAGGAAATTAAAGCAAGAGTGATGAATCACCAGATTTTTTCAGTTTCATTTTTGCCACCAGAAAAGTAATACTGTATCAACAACGTCTGTGCAATTGTCAATGTTTCACCAAAATATTCCTTTTAAACAAATATATTACGTTGCAATATTATACCAGCATCACAGATCAAAGTTTTTAAAGGCAACTGAATGACGTGCATTTGTTCTATATGTATGCATGGCATACGTGGCATGTGAACATGAATTTCCCAAATGTCAAGCTGAAAATTTAAAAAGAGCCTACATACTGTATTTACAAGTCACATGCGTATAGTCTCTCTCTCTGTGGAATCTGGAACCCAGTGCATGTTTAATTTCATAGTTAGGCAAATATAGAAATATCAGCACAAATTGCACAAAGGAGCCATGCACCCTGATCCTAACTCTACTCATATTAAAAGTAAGTCACACTGAGGTCAATCATACTTCTTTCCAAGTAGACATACGCAGGACTGCAGTTTAAGGATACGTTTGTATTTCTCATAAAGTATGACCAGCCCATGCTGAAGTCTCTTAAAGGAAATTTCACAAGAATCTCTAATCGGAAGTCAAGAAAGCACAGATAACTAGTGATTTGAACCCCGCCAGTCATAGCAGTTATAGATCTGTATTTTACCAAACAAGCATAAGCAGTCCTCACAGATCCCTCTCTCTACCCTCGCCTGGCCTTAGTTTCAGCATCTGCATTTATCCTTCTAGGAGACCAGTATAAGCAACGAGTTGGGTAGTTCACTTCATTCCATCCAAGGGAAGAAATTCGATCTGGTTTTTCCATTCAGAGGATGGTGGGCTCATTAGCACGTTTTGATAGGCTTCTAACCCACCAGGTCTTTGCATGATGATTTTTCTGACTGAAGTTGGCTACAACCAAGCCAGATAAGCATTTTGTCATCATAAGAGTCTACAGCAGCTCCCACAGCCCAAGCCACACATACACTGTCCCAAAAGCACCTCATGTGATACAGGATTTTCCACTACACACATTCAGTGAAGCCATGCCGATAATAGGGTTGCTGTTAGGCCACTGTGAATTTCAGACTTGGAACCCAGGCTCCTTCTTGGGAACAAATCAATGGACTTGCTGACAGAAAATCAATAGAGTACCATACCCATCTCACAGTTACCTTACTAGAATCCACTGTTTAATTTATTTATTTATTATTCGATTTATACCCTGCCCATCTAGACCAAAGTCTAGTCTGGGCAGCTGACAATAAAACATAAAAGTAATATAATAAAATAAAAACAGGGATAATATAATTCAAAATGGCAAGGTCATTAGGTGATGACAGGAGGGAAAGTCTGCCTAAAGAGCCAGGTTTTATGTTTGCTCTTAAAACCACCCAGAGAGGGAGCCAGGCAGATCTCCGCGGGCAAACTAGTCCAGAGGGGAGGGCCCACTGCTGAGAAGGCCCAGTTTCTTGTTCTTTCTCTCCAGGCCTCCCTTGGCGTTAGGCCCCTCAGCCACCCATCCTGGCTAGAACGAGTGATTCGGGTAGTTCTAGGTGGGAGGGAGCATTCCACTAGATATCGAGGTCCTAAATCATTTAAGGCTTTATATGTCATCATTAACACTTTGAAATCAATGCAGAAATGAACAGGCAGCCAGTGCAGGGCAGCCAGACTGGGAGAAAATATGCTGATATTTTCTCACCTCGGTAAGAAATCTGGCCTCTGCATTCTGCACCATTTGAAGCTTCCACATGATTCTCAAAGGCAGCCCCATGTAGAGCACATTACAGTAATGTAATCTCCAGAGTACAAGTGCATGGACCAGAGTGGTGAGCGCCCCAACATCAACATAGGGATGCAGCTGAGCAATCCGCCTGAGATTGAAATAGGTGGAGCAGACCATTGACGCCACCTGGGTTTCCATGGCAAGACACAAAGTCTGCCAGCTCTGGTAAGGAAATGGCTGGGTCATGGGGAGCGCCATAACCCAGCAAGATCCTACTACCATCCCTGACCCCAGTCGACACCTGGAGGGCTTCAAAACCCAGCATCGCCACTGCTGAGCACCTTACAACCTCTCGAGTGTTTCTATAAACAATGGCTATTCCCCCTCTGACCTTCCAGTCTACCCTGGTGTTGGACTGCATAACTGGGAGGACAGGCAAGAGTCAAGGGAACCCCCCCTTCCCTGCCCATCCAAGTTTCAGTTATGCAAGCCAGATCTGCATCCTCCTCCAGAATAAAGTCTTGAATAATCTGGGACTTGTTGGATACAGATCTGGCATTCAACAACACCAAATTTAGAGTGGAGGGACGGCTGATATTGCTACCTTGAGTCTGCTGGGTGGTCACAGTGCCAGAACAGTGAACAGCCTTCAAACATCTGTTCACTGTTCTTCTGAACTGAGTAGGCACTGTGCCATCGCCATATCTCCCTCTACCTGTAATTACTCAGATGTTCAGAGTACCCCTGCTTCGGTGGGGGGGGGGGCAAGCCGTCCACTCCATGTCATTTCTTTGATTTCTTCACTGACCAAACCAAGATTAGTCTATGGGGCAGAAATAACAACTCTAGATTCTTGCCAGCCTGTTGGGCACATGCAACATTGGTCATTATTCATTTCATAACCAATAGAATCACAGTGAAGATCTGATAGGGGCAAAATACCTCCCAGGAGTGCTCCCTACATCATTAGGATGCAGCATCACACAAATATTGCTAGTCACACACAAAATGCCAAAACAACATTGCCAACACTTCTATTATATATAAACATTGTCATTTATTAGATCTTCTCTTAGTCTGCACCTTCTATGTGTGCCATAACTCTCACAACTCTTTTGCACACCAACAGGCATGCTTCCATCCTAAACAGATTGAATTAGAAGACTGCATCCAACTTTGGACGAGTGGAATGACACCATGGATAAAAGCCATAGATCTCACCACTGCGCACGGTGATTGAGACCAACTGGCAGTTGAGATAATGGAGCAATTATGGACTAGATTACAAACGTTCACAAGAAATTGTGTTCACTGCCATTTCCATTACTGAATTATTTAAATGAGAAATTCTTACTTTTGGAAGAGATGCTCTGGAGCCTGAACTCTGAGTGGTCATTGTCAAGACTGTGGTGATGCCCAAGGCAACTCTGGCAGGAGCGGCATCCATGTTGATCCAGAAAGAAACCCAGGACAAAATGACGATCAGCAGGCTAGGAATGTACATCTGGATTAAATAATATCCCATCTGACGCTCCAAATGAAACTTTACTTCAATGCATGTAAATTTTCCTAGAACATGAAATTGCTTTTATAAATCACTTTTTGTACATTTTAATCTTGTTTTATTATGAGCATAAATGAGCTGCCTTAGACACACGCATTTTGTAATGTCTGACATTATTTATGCATTCTTGATTCATTCTTTCACATACCACATGAAAATACTGCAGAAATTCTTATTTTGGCTGACATCCTGCACTGGCAGAGCTGAGTGTCACTTGAAAATTCTATATTGCTGGGTACAAAATTCATTATAATATTTTCCCCCATTTCCCCCCTTAGACAGAATTTAATATTGGAAGCAACAGTCAGGACTTAACCTGTTTGGTGGCTTCATTTATTTATTTTTAAAGTATAAACAAATCTGTAGTGATGACAATTCAGACTTTAAATCCTCGAAGAGGGAGATCAGGACATTTGGGGTGACACTTTCAGTTTGTTGGTTTCAGTGTTGAAGGATCTTTTTAAAAAAACACTGACTGAAGACTGGTGTCCTTGGCCATGTGAATTAATGATATTGCCAAAGTTCGTAATTCATAACCTGATTTGCAGAATGAATTCCTAATGCTTGGCTTTGTCTCAAAGGAAATGACATCTCCCCAGAAGTTATTCTCTGGCTCAGACTCCAAACCAAATGTCTCTCTTCCTCCTTGGCACCATAAGACCCAAAAGTGTGGGAAACTTCTGCTTAAAGGTTGTAGCTGCATTTTGTTCCAGTGACGTGCATACACTCCTGGCAGGAAGCGGCAGCTGCCAGCTGGCGGGGTAGCCCCTTATTCTGCCCTTTCGTTTAGAGGCAGAGCATAAGAACAAAGGATTATTTTAGCCAATCCTAGTTACGATTAGGTAACTAGTATACTATCTGAATTCTAACAACATACTATGTAATCATGCTAAGTCAGGGCACGGCCAATGGGCTCTGCTGGCTCGGACATCCTCTGTCGACTCCTTCTGCCAATGGGCTCTGCTGGCTCGGACATTCTCTGTCGACTCCGTTGTTCTCTCTCTAAGGCAATTAGCCTTCCTTTGCTCCGTGATCACCCACACAAAAGCATCCTCCTATGCTTACTTTAGGGTGGGGGGAAGACACCACCACAAACTGATTTCCATTTAATGAGGCCTACAAAACCCTAAATTCACAATTGACTAGAGATTATAGGCAATTCATAGTTATAAATATCCACAAACTTTTTGAGTCTTGCCAGCTGTTTCCTAGCACATTTGACCCCCTAGCATGACCTTCACTACGGCATGCCCTCAGTCTTGTACTGTTGGATGTAAGATCATACCTTTATCTCAAATCCAACACAATTATTGTCTTGCTAAAACCAGATGGGCACATGCATGTTCCCCCAGGGCCATTCATGTGGTCATCATTATTTGCATTTCTCCAGAATCCCTGTCTTTACCCCATATTTAATTTTTTCTAGGGACAAACAATTTTTTGGGCCAAAAGTCCCTTTGTTCCCTCTAGAGGGCTGGAGGCAATTTTGATCTGTTCTAAAGGACCCCTGAACACTGACCTTCCAATTTATTTAATTTTAAAAAAATGTTTTGAGCCACTAGAGGGTGCAGTTTTCTGCTGAAAACATTTTGAAATTTGCACATTTTTCTCTTATTCAACAACAACAAAACATTACAGCAAAGTTTACAGGCCCAGGGGAAATGACAAGGAAAAAGTAGAGATAATAACAACTGCTTTACCAATTGTGCCGATGTCACCTATTTCAAGGGCTTACTGGTGATCACACAGACATCCTGTTAGTAATGTTATTGTCACTGTTTAATCTCAACCCACCCAACCATTCATAATATATCTATAATTCACAATAAGATTTCATCCATCTAATAGAGTTGACAAGGGATATGATGAGTATCGAGAAATGCCCCCTCTCAGTTATTGTTTTAAGTTTCACCATTCTGAAAGTGTCCCCTGTGCTAATGAGATTTCTCAGCTTCCCATGAAAACAAGACACCAGTTATCCTCCCCAGTTTTCTTGTCTGTTCTGCACAGGAAACTATGAAATGTGCAGAAATTAATGCCTTTTCTGGTGAATCTTATATAGAAAAGATGCCATTTTATTCAGGAATTGTAATAATCCTATACAAATTGGCATTTCTACTGCCCTTTCCTTCTGAATTCTGTGCATGAAAAAACCCATTCTGTACAGGGATTGTAAGAATCCTGCACTGTATACTGGCCACAACCCACCCCCCAAGAAATCATGCAATATTTCCTGCAAGATTACTTGGGGAATACAAGTTTACGCAGAAAATCTCGCTGCAGGGAGAAAGGAGCCCCCCTCCCCCACCTGACTTGCTTTCTTGCCAGGCATGAGAGACTTTGAGATTCACATCCCGGAGGCTGAAGCTGAAAGCTTCTTCCAGAACAAATCTTACGGAACCACACAAACCTGTGATTTTACTATATATATATATTTTAATCGCTGCAGCTCAACCCAGCTCAAACACACTTCTCAAAGGTTTAGAGGGGTTTAAGTTTTAAACTCATCTGACTCTTTGTTAGACTAAGGACTGTGGGGAGTATGAACCGGAAAGCCTTTTTAAAAACAAATAACACAATAAGCATAATAATATTAGCGCAGCTTGTTCCTCATGGGGACATCATGAAGACTTCAACAGCCTGAGTTGGTATCTAAGGACTGTAAAATTATTTAGACTAGAGCAGATACCTCTGTTGAGCACCAAGGTTTAAAAGCATGTAATGTATCAAGAGTAGTGTTTAATCTGCATTTTGATACACAAATAATTAATATCACTGGCTCAGTATAAAAGGTATTCTGCAGGTAGAAGGTCTGCCCATGAGATGAACAACATTAGAGATAAGCAACATTAGAGGTCCCACTGGAACTCTCTCTTTTTTTGTGGTGGAGAGTTCTGGTTTTGGTGTGGTTTCAAACTGTTTAGCATGGAATGATTAGGAAGCTAGAAGCTAAGTTTTAGACCTAGTGATGACACTAGGGTCCTGGAAGATAACTAAGTAGTCCATGTGCTAACACTAGGAATCTGCAGTTTGCTTTAGATTATATCACCTTAATCTGCAGTAAGATGATCATGATGATATTAGAGTTTCAGAGCTGGAAGGGACCCTATGGATCATTGAGCCCCACCCCTGTCAAGGAGGCACAGTGGGGAAGTGAACTCCCAGCTTCCGGCTCCTACGTAAACCACTAAACTATCCAGCAGTTCACCTGAAGAAATATTCTCTCATGGACAATATTTAAGAGGAAAACTACTAATTCTGGCTGTTGAAAAAAAAGAGGAGATGCTACCAGCAACTGAAGAACAGTGCTTGATCTTCGAGTCCTTGCGCTTCGGAGCACAGAATTGTCTACATCAGGTGATAGTAAATCATATCAGTGAAAATCTACATGTCCTTTCTCACTAAGTTTACAGTCAGAGCATGGAACATGATTAATTAGTCAATGTTAAATATTTAAAAATTGGGGCATTAACTCATAGCAATTTAAAAATGAAATTGCTTAAATTAAACAGGAAATAATATAATTAAAACGTGCTACTTCAAACATCAACCTGATGTACCCTCTGCAAAAACTAAATGTTGTCAACATCATTGTCCCCAAGATGAAAACTATCTATATTCCTGTTTTTAAATGAGTTTTATACTAAGTAGCCAGCTTTAACCATATAATTATATTTGAACTATGACAGTCACAAGCCCCAGTTTAGAGTATCTGAAAGCCTATGATTTTTTAAGAGCTTCTGGGAGTTATAGTCCAAGATCATCAGGATCTCAAAGCTTGGGAAATATTTCTTTTATAAAGAGCTAAGTATACTCTGTTAGCACAATACTGAAAGAGGCTTTGACTGCAGGAAGTGCTCTATAAATGCCGCAAAAACAATTGGATCAAAAGTGAAGGGAATCCATTCCACGATCTACCACAAGTGCCTGAAACTGTAGATAGTAGCAAACTCTATATATGATATCAAGGAAACAGGAGACAGGCCACAAGGGGGTGGGACAAAGGACAAAATGCCCACTCCTTGTATGTGCATACTAGTTGAGGTAAACCACTGATACTGATCAAGCAGATATGGGAATCCTACTGTATTTCAAACATAGTGATTAACTGGCTCTCTGGAATAGTTGTCCTTAACTTTGTAGATCCTGGCTGTCTTAGGTTATAATTTTAGAAGCTTATAAAATACTATGCATTCCTTATTAATTCTAATGAAGATTTGAGGATATCATAATATGCGCACATTTATATTGCACAGGTTAGACTATCTAGTGGGAAAAGGAAAAAGAATGTCAATTGGCATGTCTTCTTTGAAGAGGGCATGTCAAATCTAATGTTTTAAATGTGTTAAACATTTTTTCCTCTAATGTTATTTTTCAAGTAGTAAACAAAGTTCCAATGCATTACTTCTAAGCTTTGCTAACAATGCTCTATCACTTGTGGAAATAGGTGTTAATTTAAAGAATAAACAAATGCTTACCAGTGTTATAATGTTTTGTGCAATAGCCAAGTTCCTTCTCTTCTTTCAGAATAAACTGTGGCAGAGTCAAACCTTCTGCTACTTGCACTGGAGCATCACTCATCCACTCAAATATCAGGTCATTCATAGTGTAGCCAACTAGAACAAACAAATCATATTTGATTAGATAATAATGCAGTGGCACACTCAGAAGCCAAGAGAGACAAATTATGACTGTAAAAGCTTTCTCAGTTTTGAGTGGCAAATTAACTCATAAACAAGGCTATAATCACTACAATTGTCACAAAGAATTACATATCAATGGATGTACAATTCTAGCGTAAATGTGGGAAACAATAATTCCACAGACACATATGAAGCCAAGGTGCAAGCTGGTACAGAAAAGTGTGCAAGCACCTTTCCCCATTCTAGGCAATAAAGATACAAGATTGACAAATTAAAGCATTAACATGTTGCTCCCCTTTTATGACAGCACAGATCCGCTATCTGAGGCAGCTGCCTAGCCAAAAACCCATTTTTCTCATAGTCCTCTATTCCTCATATTCCTCTAATGGAACACAGCCTGCCAACATCTGAGTTCAGTTCTCATTCTTACATTGTTTTTATTGCTTATATGAATGGATAGATTCATATAACTGCTCTATGAAACTCTAAAGTTACACTTCATGGAGACATTGGATGCACGAAACAAAGGTAATAGGACTTGCTTCCGTGATGTGAGTAAAGTAATAGCAATAGCAATTTTCACATTAAATAAAGGGAGAAACACTAATTTTCATTCCCTAAAAGGAAACCATAAGTGGCTATCCAGCTACATATTTTTAGGGTGTTTTTTTTTTTTAAAACAACAGAACCTGGTACTTGTCAGATTGAAGGCAAAGGTACACCAAAGCTGCCCAACCTTGGTCTTTAGCAGTGGTTCCCAACTTTGGGTCCCCAGATGTTCTTGGAGCAAAACTCCTAGAAACTTTCATCACTAGTTGTGCCGGCCAGGATTTCTGGGAGTTGCTGTTCTGGGGACCCAAGGTTGGGAACCACTGCTCTATACTGAATGGAAGGAGTTCTTTATTATTTCAGAGACAAATTGTAGATGATACACTGGCTGGAATCCCGTAAGAAGTTGCTGCCAAAGGAAGGCCACTGAAATCAGTGAGATTCAGTGAGTTTACACCCATGCAAGTTCCGCTGATTCAATAGGCATATTCTAGCCCTATACAGAATTCAACGTATTGATGAATTTAATGTCTGTTTACATTGAATGTGCCTATTTTTTCCTTTTCTATTTTAACTCTTGACAATTTACCTTCTGCTCTGGAGAGCAACTGAACAGGTTTTTTATTGGAAAAATGGTGGATATTCTTGCCAGTGGTCATGCTACTTTGGGAATTTCAGCTGCCCTGGTCCAAATTACAAATCCGCACACCTCTGCTCCTAATCATTATTATGGTTGTTGATGCTGTTACTGCTACAACTATTTTCACTAGTGTTTCTAAGAATTTTTCTCCCACCATAAACAGCCCCTAGAGGGCATGGATTTTCCTTAGGCACACAGCAAAGGAGAGAAAGATTAAATTCTTCCCATGCCAAAGAGGTGTCTAAAACCAAGCAAGCAGAATATCTACATGCTGAGAAACAGCACAGGAGAAGTTGAAATATCCCAGGAAATATCCTTTAACATCAAGAATAAGAGCACATATTTATTTGTACACTGCCTGACTTAGTGGAAACTACTGCTCTGGGCAGTCATTACAATATCATGTGATCCCTACCTCCCACTCCACCCAAAACATACACAAAATAGTCCCCAATCCAATAAAACAAAGAAAATAAACAAACCCTGTACTCTAGTCTGCAAACATCTGCTAATGAAGCAATTCCATGGGTTCCATTAAAATGTGAGATTAGACCGTTTCAATGACAGTTAAATTAATTTTAAAGAAAGAAATGGTGCCCATTAGAGCAAACTCAATGTGTCAGCTGATAGAATATGGGTTGTGCATGCCTGAAGCACACCGCTGCAAAAAATGAGGGGTACTGTGGCACAAAAATGGTATTAAAAGCTGCTATGTTCAAGGCTGGTGTATTTTTAAAAAGACACAGAGAAAGAGAAAATAACACCTAATTACTTACAGCTCTCTAGTTGCATTGTACATGTTTGTACATCCATAGGAAAATTCTTCAGGTCCATGGGACAGGATAAGGTTAATGTTAGCCTAAAGGAGTGCAAAAAAGGTTTAACTATGTTTAGTAAGCATGGAATGATAAGCAAAATGATTTTTAAAGCCATTGTTCAATGAAAAAGATCAAAACTTGTTTCCTTCTAATAGCAAAACAAGGTCAGCATGCCAAACAGTGTTTATTTTAAGGGGTGAGCGTTTAGAAACAGTTCCAGTCTCGCCAATAGGACAGGATACTCAACTGCTTCCACACTGATTTGATTTGGAGTTTATTAATGGTGATCTAAAGGAAAGATTATTTAAACTTCCGCAGGTGAGAGAGGGCTTTTGGTAATGGCATGTTAGGATAGCCCTTACGCAGAATTCAAGTCTAGAACGGCTTCACAGTTCCATCAGTTGTATTTTTCTTGCACAAACATTGCATTATTAATACTGATAGTGAACTTCCAAAGTGAAAATGGCATTATTAACTGAGATAATCAAAATATGTATTAGGTAAAGATCCTGACAATACGTAGTATCATTAGATTGTCTATCCTTGGATAAACAAAGATTTGGCTAATGCCTGTGAGGTGCAGATACAAATGACGTGTGAGGCTTAAAAGGGGCTTGGTTCCTTTTCTTTTCTTTTCTTTTTAGAAAGTATGCACTGCTTTATGAATGTTTCTTCCCCAACTTGGAATCAGTCTTGCTCTCTGCAGCAAACCTATGTGTTTATTTGGGAGTAGGTTTTTCCTGTCGTGATGTATGGTAGTGAGAGCTGGACCATAAAGAAAGCAGACCGCCAAAGAATTGAGGCCTTTGAATTGTGCTGCTGGAGGAGGCTCTTGAGAGTCCCCTGGACTGGAAGGAGAACAAACCTATCCATTCTAAAGGAAATCAACCCTGAGTTCTTACTGGAAGGACAGATCCTGAAGCTGAGGCTCCAGTACTTAAGCCATCTCAGGAGAAGAGAAGACTCCCTGGAAAAGACCTTGATGTTGGGAAAGTGTGAAGGCAAGAGGAGAAGGGGACGACAGAGGATGAGATGGCTGGACAGTGTCTGCGAAGCAACCAACATGAAATTGACACAACTACGGGAAGCAGTGGAAGATAGGAGGGCCTGGCGTGCTCTGGTCCATGGGGTCACGAAGAGTCGGACACGACTAAACGACTAAATGACGACGATGAACACTGAAATCTCCGTTCAGCCATGGAAACTCACAGGAGAGTGGAAGAAACCACTCCTTGAACATCTCACATGAACAGAGGGGGGTGGGGTGGAAATAACTCAAAAATCTTACCAGGCTCTCCATAAATTAGAAGCAATTTGATGGTACGTAACAACAATCTGTTAGACTAAACTGACAGTCTTTTCTTCTTAAGAGCATAGTGATTTGAGGGATGAAGATCTAATGAGGCTTTAAAGAGCCAATTTAACTAGAAGAGCTTCCTTACAACAACTAGTTTAATAGTTCTACTCCAAACAAATATAGCCACAAGTAGCGTAAACTCTAAGAGGATGATAAGACTGAGATGTCCAGTAAATCTACCCACGCGGGACCTGGTGAGTCTGGACCATCAGACCACCATTGTGGAGCCTTCTTCCCAGGTGCCCTTGTACCTGGGAGGGAGGCTTCTGGAAAAGATACTGCTGGCTGGCCAGTTGGAAACAGCCAACAGTTCTAGAGGGAGGAGTTCCTGATTTGATAAACCTGATTGTTGCAGTTTTAAATCTAGTTCCCCAGGCTGGGATAAAAAGGAAGCTCCAGGCTCCTCTCTGGCAGTCTTGAAGTGGACTTCACGTTTAATGCATAGACTTCTTCTTTGTGAAATTGGAGGATGAGGGATTTTAAGGCTTAGTAGACCTTCTTGTACATTAGACCCTCTTGTTACTGCTTTGTTGGAGGTTGCAGAGTGGGCAATTTTTATGCAGAGGAGCAGGTCTGTGGTGAAGGAGATGGGTATTCAGCCCTATCCCAGGCGAGCAATTCCCCCTAGAGGAGGGGATCGGGGGATGGGGATCTGACAAGTGCATGCTCAGCCCTTGGGAGGGCTGCCACAGTTTCCCACAGCTGGAACCAGGAGCTCTATCTCCAACCTAGAAGATTCCGGTTGAGTACATACCCACTTTTGGTTACCAACTCCCTTGGATACCTAACAATGTGCTGGGATGATGGGCATCGGATGGCAGGTGGGTCATCCGATGCAAAGATCTGCTCTTTATGTTGCGCCAGTACTGTTCTGCTGCAACCTATCCAAGCAGTGGTCTTTTTATATATACGCTATCAACCTTTTCTAATAAAATTGTTAATGTTGAATGGCATGTGTGCTTTAGTTGGGAGAGGGAAAGCGTCCAGCAGTTATCTCACCTGAGTCTCCAAAGTGAAATTGAATTTATGAGTTTGATGACTTAAACCATTGATTTTTCAAGCCACAAAATGGAATAGTTATTGCAGAACTGAGAGGCTGAGCACTTAAGAAATAGATCACACTGATTCAGACAAGCAAAGCCTCCAGTATGTGGAAAATAGAAGTACGTGATGTGTACATATATCAGAGTATAGACTGACGACAGAGAGCCAATGCTTTATGCTTAGTTTGCAGAAAGAGGTATCCACAAAGTTGAAGTATTATTAAACAAGCTAATAAACAGACTGAAAACTTATTCTGACTTAGAGGAAATGAACACATTGCCAAGCACAAAAGAGCTACTATTGCAGAGTAGCCGCACCTTTTCAAACCAAGTTGTTTTGGTTTTTTAAAGAAGACTACTCTCCTCCCATCCATTTAGATGCTGAGATTCTCCTTGGCTTTTGGATGCATCATGTTATGATTTTCCAATGATCAACCTCTTTTAATTCATGCTGTTCATTTCTTCCAGGTAGTTTTACTTTATATAGCCTAGCCCAGGGTGTGATCACCCAGGCATTTGAGACCACATACCCACGCTCAAGCTGGGTCTTTCTGGTCCAGCAATAAGGCTACTAACTAAGGGTTTTTTTGGGGGGGGGAGCAGGTTGGAGTGATTCTCTGAGGGGTGGAAGGGTTGCTTTAAGGGAAATCACTCCTGGGTAAACAATCCTTTCCCGTGCGACCACACATGCACCTTTCTTGCCATATGATCACACCCTTAGACCAACTATCTTTTATGCCCTGTACAATTGAACTGTTCTTAATATGTGGACAAATTTAACATTTGATCCCCACTATTTCATCAAAGCCGACAGAAATCATATGGTACTCAATGCCTTAGGGAAATCACTCCTGGGTAAACAATCCTTTCCCGTGCGATCACGCATGCACCTTTCTATCTTTTATGCCCTGTACAATTGAACTGTTCTTAATATGTGGACAAATTTAACATTTGATCCCCACTATTTCAAAGCCAACAGAAATCATATGGTACTCAATGCCTTAGAAACAGTAAGGTTTCTCAGAACATTCCCTCACACTCGACAGCTTCCCTACAGTTTGCATGTAGAACTTGTTACTATTTTGGACTGGAGCATGACCCCACTCTTCAACTTTTCTTACTGGCTGCTTTCTCTATTGGTTTCCCTATTCCAGCAATAAACAGCTTGCTGTGTTACGAGAGAAAGAAAGAGAAAGTGTGTGCGCACCATTCCCTTCATCCTCAGACTGTGCAACTTTCCCAAGGCTACACAGGCTGGCTCAACTCGCAGGAGGCCGAGTGCAGATTCAAACTCCCAACCTCTTGTTTCACACCCAGATACCTAAACCTCTGACTCACCTATTTTGGAGGATTAGAGATGTTTTTCCATGATACCCATAGATCTGGTAAGAACAATCTCCAATTACCAGCCCTGAAGTAAGATTCAACTGCCAGTTTATATGGTTCTTGCCCTATCTTAATCCTTTCCTATCAGTATAAATATATCAGGTTTTAAAATTTTTAGGCCTGTTCTCAAAATAATCTACCCATAAGCAGCTATAAATTGTCCTGCTTTCCTTATAGTGTGGAATTACAAACTCAACACAGTACTCTTTAAATAAGAGGGGAAAGGAAATATTCCAAGTTGAGAGCAGTACAATGCTTCTACTGTTTACCTCCACAAAATGGAAACAAGTTGTTTTTGTTTATTTAGTCTAATGACACTCATTTACAAATCAGACTCTGGGGAACGTTTGTGTCTTGCACTTTCCCACTGTGGCTGTGCTGCACTGCCAAAATGATGTTCGCATAGTCAACGGATCACCGTAAGTCCCTACCAGTTCGTGCCAACTGCAACCACTGTCTTTTAGACTCTTATGTACACAGGTGTGTGGCTTGGCCTGTACCCAAAAAGCATTCTCAAAAAATCCTATTAGTACCGATTTCCATATGAAATTCTGCCAATTTTAAAAAAAAAACTTTCTAGCCAAGCGTTGTGCTCTCCATATACAAAATTACACAGAGGCTCTGCCAACATTTCTCCTGTTTTTAATTAAATGTGGCATGCTAGTTTTTGAGAAACGAAAGGGTGCCACACAATAGGATGGCTTTAGAGCAGAGACATTGTGAATTTAGAATGAGACGCTGATGTTCTCAGGACCTTCAATTTTTTCCACAGCTATATACCAAGAGATGTGGCTTTCAATGTTTAAAATTGTATATTTCTTTAGCAAAAATATAGATGTTGTTTCAGAAGGAATTTACCAAAGTTATATACAATAAAAACATGAATAAAATGCATGTATATGTAACAAGCAGTATACATGTTATGCACATGTAACAAGCAATACACATGACCAAAAACTAAACTGGAAAAACCTGGGTTGGGGAATAAAGGTGTGGGCCTCAGTTCTCGGAACAAGGTGTTCCAAACAGTGGGCGTACCATTAAATGCTTTGTTTTAAGTGGATGGCAGACTTATCAAAGAAACCAGCATCCTACAGCCAGTGCAGAGTTCTAGTTTTAAAAAAGCAAAGCAAAGCGTGCTGCTTATATACTGCCGCATAGCGCTTCAAGCACTCTCTGGGCAGTTTACAAGTTAATTATGCAGGCCACACATTGCTCCCCCAGCAAGCTGGGTACTCATTTTAGCGGCCTCGGA